AAGAAGAGACTGGTGGGGAATAAGTGGTGTGGTTGATGGTTAGGTTACGGTGGCAAAAACCTGCCAGAAGGGAGTTGGGAGCCGCGGATCCCAGAAGGCAAACCTGAGGAATCATGGTGTGGTTGCTTTCCTCGGGTTCCCATAAAGGAACATTCTGCAGGGGTTTCATAGGATCCATTTTGTAGCATGAGTTGGGCAAGCTGGAGACATCCGCGCTGGAAACTTTTATTGGAACTGCGGCAAGTAAGGGCCATGCTAGGGGAAGCGCACAGAAAGCCATTTGCTGGACTTGCGGCGGGGAAAGTTTGGTTTAGGTCGGACAATGTGTCAGTGATGATCCGTAACCAGGTAGAGATGGGTGAAGCCTGAGAGTCAGAAGTGCTTGGCTTTCCAGGGATGCGAGCAGCCGTGGTTCTGAGTGTTTTGTGTTGACTGAGACAAGAGAGACTGGGGACTCCATGGGAACATATTCCAGGTAACGGATGAGGAACCTCAGGGAGTGGAGGCATACCCACCGCAATAAAAGGAAGCCTTTACTCCTGCTGCCCAGCGTGGGTTCCCAGGGTCTGGGATGGTCGGCTTGTATTGGTGGGAGGCAGACTCAAGTTTCAATCTTCCTATTTTACTTGCCCTGAATATGCATCATGAATTCTGCATGACCAATAGGGGCAGCCCCCGTAGGTTTCCGGCCACTGTTTGCAGTAATCCTTATTTGGGTCATATAAAAACATAAGTAAGGGCGGCTGGCTGGCTTAATGAGCTCAGAGGAAGAGGAAGAGAGTACAGTATAGACGGCTGAGGAGCACCCTGTTAGGGGGCAGCCAGAAGTGGTAGCCAAGCGGGTGGTCCGGGTGTTTTTTGTGTTTCTCTCACCTTGAATCTCCAGACACACGATGGTGAAGGCGTTACCCTTGGGGTGAGGATGAGGACGAGGATCAGAAAGCTAAGGTACATTTTCAGATATGTTCTCAGCTATGGGTGTAAGGGCAGAAACACGAGAGAGGCGAATTTTTAAAGGGTCCGTAGGGTGGGGAGAGCAAGAGCATGTAGGTGTGGATTCTTGCGAGTCCTCTGGTCCGATGTTGCCAGAATCAGTTTCCTGGATGCATGGTTTGAGCCTGGAAATGTGAATCCATGGAGTTAATTGATTATTTGTGAGTCTGAGTTTTGCTCCGAGGGAGTGCACATGATGACCGAGGCGGGGCCCTCCCATTGGGGTGCAGTTGGGGTCTTTCACCTGGGGGCAGTGATATACCTGTTGGCGGGGTGTTAGGGTGAGGGAGTTTTGAGTAATGGTTGGGTCAGGTGAAAGCCACTCCTGGTATTTCCAAAGTTCAGGGCGTAGATGGAAAAGGAGAGGTGGAGCGTAGGAATCAGGTACAGGTAACTGTTCAGTCCGTATTCCGGGGGGTGAGAATGAACGGCCGTACATAACCTCAAATGGGGAAGGGTTGGATGGTTTCTTTGGTAGAGCCCTGAGACACAACAGGGCCAAGGGGAGGACCTTAGTCCAGTCTCAGCTTAATTCCGTGGTGAACTTGGTGAGGGTTTCTTTGAGAGACCGGTTAGTTCTTGCGACTTTCCTGGAAGCCTGGGGACGGTGAGGGCAGTGATGGTACGCTAGCCAGCCCCTGGGTTCTCTGCCAGGTGAATTCTGGACCATTATCTGATTGGATGGAAGTGGGCATCCCGAAACGAGGGATTGTGTCAGATATCAACCGATCCACAACCGTGGAGGCCCGCTTATTGGATGTGGGAGATGCCTCTCTCCACCCTGAGAACGTGTCCACCAGGACTAAGAGATATTTGATGTTTTTACACTGGGCATGTTTGTGAAATCTATTTGCCAATCAGCTCCCGGGGTGTGGCCACGGGCCTGATGAGAAGGATAGGGTCTGGATCTTAAGGGGGTGTGGGCATTGGTCCTCTGGCAGATCTGGCCTGCGGCTGTCACCTGTTGCAGAAAGGTCTGATCGTCAGAGGAAAGAGGGAAAAAAGATGGAAGGAGAGTCGATAAGCTCTGGGGGCTAGAATGGAGCAGTGAGTGGAGGAATCTAGTGAGCTGGTGAGGCTCAGGAGGTTGCTCCTCAGAGGAAAGGTGGAGGAATGAGGAAGAGGATGGGGCCTGCAGGGCGGCTGACCTGGTCAGCTTTAGAGTTGCCCACGGTGGCAGGAGAAGAGTCGGTCTGACGGGCTTCACCGTGGACTGTGCCCAGCTGTAAAGGCGGCATGGAAGCCTGTAGCAGGTTAGAAATAAGGCCGCATTCATCATAGCAGTTCCTTTAGTCGTGAAGAGTCCCCGCTCCTTCCCGATTGCCGCGTGAGGAACCAGGACAGGGAAGACACACTTGGAATCGGTGTATAGAGAAAGCTTTCTCCCTCTTGCCAGTTCACAGGCTCCTGTGGGGCTGTAAGTTCTGCTTGTTGGTTGGTCGTGCGGGGCTTGAGGCCATGGATGGCGCAGGAAGGCACGGGTCTGCGTGTTCCCTTAGGAGTTTGTGTGGACGTGTGAGATGGGGCAGGTGGGACACAGGGGAGGAGGAGTGACCAGAAAGCTGTGGGCGGTGAAGACAGGGCACCCATAGAGTAGCTCAAAGGGCTAAGGCCTGAGGGCCCTTGGGGCTGCCCGAATTCAGGGGAGGGCCAATGACAGTGAGATGATCCTGGAGAATGCCGTTAGGCCTCAGCCTGACCCGAGGATGGGGGTTGGTGGGGGATGTGGAGCCTCCGAGTGATGTTGAGGCCTTTGGAGACAATTGAACCACCTGAGAAGCGAAGGCTGGGCCGTTGTCTGAGTGGATGGAGGCGGGAAGCTCGAACCTGGGAATGATCTGCTGGATGAGGATGGAGGCAACCGTGTCAGCAGTTTCCCTGGGGGTAGGGAGGCTTCTCTCCAACCTGGAAAGGTACCAACCAGAGTAAGTGGCAGTGAAGCTCTGTGCCTAGGCCTGTGGGTGGAGTTGACCTGCCCGTCCTCGCCTGGCTGGTGGCTCCTCATCTGAGGTGTGGGGAGCTCAGGTTTGACGCTTCCTTGTGGGATGCTGGAGAGCAGACTGAACAAGCAGGTGGACCTGCCGGAGAGTAGTTCTCGCTCCTAGGAAGGGAAAGGGGGTTGTGAAAACTGGAAAGAGGGGTTAGGAGAGGGTTTTAGAGGGCCCAGAGTCTCTGGAGCCAGAGGAGTTGGTCAGGAGTCCTAGGTCTCCRTCTTGGGCACCAGGGCTGGTAGTCTTGAAGAAGTGGTTGACTGACTGACTGGTGGGTGACTTTGTGTATCTGATCTGGCAGGAACTTCTGTAGGCAGTTTAACAGACGTGGTCCTATTAGTGGTCCTATTAGGAGGAACCTAAAGAGGACTAACGGGTCCTGCGAAGGGGAGGAGCCCAGGCATGACTGAACATTCCCCGTGGAGCCTGTGGGCTGGTCGCTGTCTCCTCTTTTCTAGCTGTTCTTGACCTTCATTACTCCTAGGAATGACTTTTGGCTTAACTGTTTGGTAGGTGTTTAGGATCAAGTGGTCAAAACTGACTTCGTTTCTATTGTCAAGAGTCAGCCGAGTCCCCACAGGGGTCGCTCGTGGGGGAACTTGAGAGCAGCTTCTCAGTTCTGCTGGTGCCATTTGCGCTGGGATGGGTCCAGGTCTTGCTTGACCATTGGCTTCCCTTGGAAGCATCAGGGATGTCTCCCGTCTCCAGTGACCCTCCTGTTCACAGCATGTGCACTGATTGGCTCTCCATTCTCCAGGGGTCTCATTAATCGCCCTGATCGGGAGGTTATGGGCCCAGAGTTGCAAAGCTCCTTAGAGAAGCCCCCTGTTCCCTGGATTTCAGACTGACTCAGAAGGCCAGAGCCAAACATTGGGTTTTTTTGGCCCTTTTAATTTAACTTTAAATCTTGATCATCAACATCCAGCAAAGTCAGTTTCACCCTAAATTAAGAGTACTGGGCTTTACCCGAAGTCTGGCCTACTTTGGAGTCATTCTGACACGTAGTAAGAAGGGAGGCAGAGGTTTATCTCAGGTACAGCTAAGATTTATAAATCTTAGGTAAAGCGTTCTGGTATTGAAGTTGATATTTGTTTTTAAATATCATTTTATAACATTTACATATATTGTTGCTTGATGTCACATGAATATATGATATTATATTTAAATTGTACCCAGGGTATAGAACTTGATATTGATCTTATTGATCACAGGTCCAGTTATAGAACATTAAATGATATAAAATCAATGTTTAAGTATATAGAATTATTCTGTTGTAGGGACGGACAAAGCCAGGCACCTAAGATAGCACCAAAGATAGGGAAACAGTCTTATTTGGTTGCAACCGGATTCAGAGGGCACATCTTCTGCTGTAATCAATGAATCCCCTGAACCCCAAGTTTAGGTAGTTTCAGAATTTTGTACCCAATATGTAAGGGAAAGGGCTCAGAAGTTCACAGTCTGCAGAAGTTCACAAAAAGCAGTTTTTGTTTTTGTTTTTTTTTTCTCTGTTCTGGGCAAGTTACCTTTTCAAGGACCCCTGGGAAGGGAGAGCCTCTTCTCCCCTCTCTTTCCTCGGGGAAAGACCCCGGGGCCATCATGGTCAAGGTCAGGTCATCGCCTCTGGCGCACGCAAGTCCGCCCTGCATGAGATTCATGGGGGCACGAGCTGTCCACGGGCACGGAAGACGGGAGGACCAATGAGAAAACTTTCAAAACAACTTGTTACGCGCCCACTGGCCATCGGCCCGCCGCCATGTTGCATTAGGGGCTCCTTACCTGAAAGGCCTGGGAGTTCTCAGGGAGACTCCCAACAGACACCCCCAGCCCTCCTGCACTTTCCATCACTCTCTGTGTCTACCCCCTCCACACACACACTTTGTTTTTTTAAATTCATTCTCCAAATCCCAGCAAAGCATCTGACTGCCACGTCAGGGAGTGAGGAGGGCCGTCCTTGAAGGAAGTGGGTGATGCCACCTTGCCAGGCCTTCCTGGCTCTGGTCCCACCCCTGCCCTGCCTGCCAGGCCAAGTCTATAAAAACCCAAGTCCTCCCCTAACTGCACGACCAGGCTGAGAGGCAGCACCATGCAGCTGAGTTTTAGTGGCCTGCGGGCTCTGGTGACAGGGGCAGGGAAAGGTAAGTGAGCCAGTGTGTGAGTGCTAGGCGCTGGGGAGAACAGGGCCACCAGACACCAAGCCACATAGAGGCCCGTGGTGACCTTGTTACAGCTCACCCTCCAGCACCTGACTGCACCCACCCAGGGCTGGAGTCCCTCCCCAGCCCACAGAGACGGGAGAGCTCACCCTGGCCTCAGCCAGACCCAGGCTGGCAGATGGGGGTCCAGCTACAGCCTTCTCCCTTGGGCCTGGTGGGAGGGAGCTGCCCTGGGCCTGACTCTGGTCAGTCCCTGCTCCACTTCATCCTGGCCCACTGCCCTCTGACCAGCATCACCTCCCTGCTCATTCCAGGGCGGGAGGGGCTGCAACTCTCACCTGCACCTGCTCCCCGCACCCCAGCCCTGACCAGGTGTGTCGGGCCACCTCTCCACTGAATCCCATCCTGCAGGGATTGGACGGGACACTGTGAAGGCCCTGCAGGCCTCAGGAGCCAGAGTGGTGGCTGTGAGCCGCACCAACGCTGATCTGGTCAGCCTATCCAAAGAGGTGAGGCTCACAGCCCTGCTGGGGCCAGGCCTGCCCTCCACCCCTCAGGGATGCCACRGGAGCCTGCTGGCACCACCCACAGGCCTCCATGCAACGTCTCCCACAGTGTCCTGGAGTGGAGCCCTTGTGTGTGGACCTGGGAGACTGGGAGGCCACCGAGCGGGCGCTGGGCGGGGTGGGCCCCGTGGACCTGCTGGTGAACAATGCTGCTGTGGCCCTGATGCAGCCCTTCCTGGAGGTCACCAAGGAGGCCTTTGACAGGTAGGAGGAGGGAAGAGCGCTCTGGCTGGGGAGAGGCCACCTAGCACAGGTGGGCAGAGCATGGTCCCTCTCTCCTGCCAGGTCCTTCAATGTGAATCTGCGTTCTGTGTTCCAGGTGTCTCAGGTGAGCCTGTGGGAGGTGTGGGCCAGTCACAGGGTGGGTGGGTAGGCTGAGGTGAGCTGCCCCACTCTTGGCTGACAGATCGTGGCCAGAGGCATGATCGACCGGGGAGTGCCAGGATCCATTGTCAACGTCTCCAGCATGGTGGCCTACGTCCCTTTCCCCAGCCTGGCTGCCTACAGTGAGTGCAGAGCCCCTGGCTCTGGGGCTGGGCCTCCCTGGAAGGAGGCTCAGTCCCTCAGGGGTTCTCAATGCTGTCCCCGTGCAGGCTCCACTAAGGGTGCAATGACCATGTTGACCAAAGCCATGGCCATGGAGCTAGGGCCATACAAGGTGAGCCGAGCCTGGGGGGGCACTAGAGGGACACAGAGGTCGTGGGTGAAGGGGTAGGGTAAGTAACCACCAGCTGAGGTTGCCACCTCTGGTCCCTGGTCCCAGATCCGAGTGAACTCGGTGAATCCCACGGTGGTTCTGACGGCCATGGGCAAGAAAGTCTCAGCTGACCCTGAGTTCTCCCGGAAGCTGAAGGAGCGCCACCCATTGAGGAAGTTTGCAGGTCTGGGGAGGAAGGCGCGGGTGGGGCGTGTCGGACGGCTGAGCCCCACAGACTGACCGGTGGGCGCCCCGCAGAGGTGGAGGACGTAGTGAACAGCATCCTCTTCCTGCTCAGCGACGGTAGCGCCTCTACCAGCGGCTCGAGCATCCTGGTGGACAACGGCTACCTGGCCTCCTAGAGCCAGCCAGCAGGCCGGGCCACCCTCTAGCTGGGCTGTCGGGCTCGCCCCTCCCAAGCCCGGGCTCTTGCCCCGCCCCCCGCGCAAGCCCCGCCTCCACACCACGGCCCCTCCCACCTCCGCGCCCGCCACCGCGCACGTCGAGGGGGGCACCACGCCCAGCCCTCCCCACCTTTTTGCTCCCGCCCCTTAAGCCCCACCTTCAATCTACGCCCCGCCCACGCCCTGCCCCTAGCCCCGCCCCGCCCTCGGCCCCACACCCCCCCAGACACGTCTCCCAGTCCTGGCCCTCGGCCGCGCCACGGTGCGGGCCCCACAGACCACCGCATCCCGAGCCCTCAGGCCCACCGCTGCCTCTTTGTCTAAATAAATAAATGGACGCTATTTTCCCGGAACCAGCGCTCTGGGTGGGCGCGTTGCGACGCTGGGCCGGGGGAACAGTGACCGCACGCCCTGAAAGCTGCTGACCCCGCCTCGTGGCCAAAGGGCTGCGGTTCTTTCGCCAGGCAGACGCCCCTTGCCGCATGCTCATCCAGCCCAGGGCAGAGGCAAAAGGCCGGGAGCAGCCTGCAGCGACCTCCCTCCCCTGCGGCTCACCCAGGGTGCAGGGGAGGGGAGAGGTGCTGCACCCGGGAGGACGCTCGGCCAGAGGAGCCCAGCGTTCAGAGGCCGCGGGGAGGGCGGTGGATCAAGTCTGTCCCTCCTCTCCCTGGGACGCCCGACCCGCTCCGGGCACACCTCCCGCCAAGAACACCGGAAGAGGGCGCCCGAGCGCGCTCGCCCTCTCGGCTCTACTGACCGTCAGGCGGAATCAAGCCCAACAGCCCTGCCACGCAGGGCTGGCCAGAGCCGCTTGCAGGCCCTGTGGGGGGGTTCAGCTGTGCTGGCCCGGGACACGGCCCGGGCATTTTGGAGACACTGGCACAACGTCCAGCCCGGGGCCAGGAAGCAGAGAACGAGGGGCTGGGGCTGAGACGGCTAGGCAAGGGGCTGGGAGGGCACGGTGGGGTGGGAGTCGCGGGAGGGTCCTTGTGACTGGTAGCAGCATGGTCTGAGCTGAAGATTACTTTGGCCAAGGATCACAGGACAGTTGATACAACTGATGAGATCTGGACACTGTGCCGGGGACAAGGCCCAACCACTGAAAGGGTCTAAGCAGAGGTGCCTCTGAGGAAGGACCATTTAGGGGCTGTCCCTCCCTTGGTCTCTGGCAGGCAGAGGGCAGGGTCCAAGGTTAGGGACAGAGGCAGATATTACAGGGACCTCACAGGGGGTGATGAGCAGGCTAAAAGCCAGGCCTGTGGGGAGAGTGTACTTGACCATCTTCCAGCATCTCTCAAATCCGTGTTCCATATTTGATGTCGATTTTTTACCTTCTAAAAATTCACTTTCTTACCTAATTAAAAAAAAAATTCTGAGTCTCCTGCTTCACCTGTCCATCCTTGCCTCCAACCTGTCCACCCCAAAGCCCCATATATCACCACTTCCCTACTACAGAAGGTCATCAGGACAGTAGTGACTCTAGACTTCCCCACCATGACCAACAGAACAAAATAGCTTTTGTAGAGTGATCCAGCCCTGGACATGTACACTGTAACTGAGGATGAGGACTCAGGGAGCAGTACTCTCCTCTGCTGGCCTCCCTCCCATCACTCCAGTCCTAACTCTCTATTTATTTGGTGCTGGGGATTGAACCCAGGGCCTTGTGCCTGCGGGGCCAGCACCTACCAACCAAGCTCTACCCCACCCCCTTCCTTTCTATCTACTTTTAAAGGTGCTGGTGGCCTGATGGGCAGTCTGGGGTGGCCTTGGGATCAACTAACTCCCTTTGAGGCTAACGTGGAACCCTGTTGGCAAGTTCATTCGGTCGTCCGAATTCTTTCTGGGCATTACGTGAGCCAACAAGACCCACTCCCGGCCTCTGGAAGCGGGAGGGGTGAAACATTTTTGCACCTGTCAGTACTGTGTTCTCCATTACAGGAGTAGCCGCACGTTATTTCTGACATTACCTTATTTTATTATTATTATTATTATTATTATTATCATTATTATTATCATCATCATCATCATCATTTTGTAATAAATTTGGCAGGGAAAAACTTGCCAATCGGGACTCGCAAAACCAGATTAGAGCGCAGGGCAATCTGTGGGCAGTTTGAAAAGGCCCGCCCCAGGGCCAACGGGGACTCCGCCTCTCCACCGTTCTGCCCTCCCCTCTTCCCAGGAGGGGGGCATTATTAGAATGTCCCCGCCTCCTACCCAGAAGCCGCCCTGTGATTGGTCTTGCAGCGCCCCACCCCCGCCAGAACTCCAAGTCCCGGGGCCCAGCACAGGGTTCCCAGGAAGAGTCGCCATGGAGCTGGGGCTTGCGGGCCGTCGGGCGCTGGTCACCGGCGCTGGCAAAGGTGGACCGCGGGCTGGAGGCGCAGGCGGGGGGTGGCTGGCGGAGGTTTTCCGGCACTGAGCCGCGCTCGCCCTAGGCATCGGACGCAGCTTGGTCCAGGCGCTGCATGCGGCGGGGGTACGGGTGGTGGCTGTGAGCCGGACCCAGGCCGACCTGGATAGCCTTGTCCGCGAGGTAGGCGCTACAGTCTCAGCCCTGCGGAGAAGCGGGTGAGTGGGTCCCTTTGGGCCCCGGCCTCCCCTCGTGGGCACGGTGCTTCCCGCCTCTGGCCAGGCGCCTGGCGCTGGTGCTGGCAGGGCCCGCAGCACCCCCTCCCAGGAGGCGCGGCTTGGTGGCTGGCGGGGTGGGGGGTAGATTGGCTTGGCCCCCTGGGCTTGGATGAGGTTGAAGTGTCTTCTGACCTGGCCCTGCGCCAGGATCGCTGGGGCAGAGAGGAAATGAACTGGATGGAGGCGGGCCCAGCTCCGGGAAGCGCAGCCCCGGTTTGCCCGTAGGCAGCTGAGACCCCGGAGACCCCGGAGACCCCTAGCTCCTCTAGCTGAAAGCCCTTTGCAGCCCCAGCTCCTCCCAGCCCAGTTCCTTCCCTCAGGTGGCAGCCGTCCACCTGTGCCTCTTCTTTGGCACGGAGCCGCTGGTAGCTGTGCCTCATCCCAATACAGTGTCCTGGAGTGGAGCCCTTGTGTGTGGACCTGGCAGACTGGGAGGCCACTGAGCACGCCCTGGGCAGCGTGGGCCCCGTGGACCTGCTGGTGAACAATGCTGGCGTGGCACTGTTGCAGCCCTTCCTGGAGGTCACCAAGGAGGCCTTTGACACGTGAGCCAGCYGGGGTAGAGGAACACTGCAGGAAGGGGATGTCCCCTGCAGCAGCCCTAAGTCCCTGACCAGGACTCTGCATCTGCCACTAGGTCCTTTGATGTGAACCTGAGGGCTGTCATCCAGGTGTCCCAGGTGAGCTGCCCTGCCTGGTAGGAGCAGGAACTCTGAAGAATGGTGCTGGTTCTGCCTCCTATCTCTCTGCAATTTCAGATGGTGGCCAGGGGCCTGATTGCACGGGGAGCCCCCGGGGCCATTGTGAATGTCTCCAGTCAGGCCTCCCAGCGTGCACTTACCAATCACACTGTCTACTGTGAGTGACTGGCTGTGACCTGGTCCCTGCTCCACCCCAGCCTGGCCAGCTTGGACTCTAAGATGTCCCCCTTCACAGGCTCTACCAAGGGTGCTCTGGACATGTTGACCAAGGTGATGGCCTTAGAGCTCGGGCCCTACCAGGTGAGCTGGGCTGGGGCACCTCCCACCACCCAGCCCACATGCCCAGGGCACCCTATGGGCCTTGCTGATCCCTGCCCGTCCCTGTGCAGATCCGAGTGAATGCAGTCAACCCCACAGTGGTGATGACACCCATGGGCCAGGCCAACTGGAATGACCCCCACAAGGCCAAAGTCATGCTGGACCGCATCCCACTTGGCAAGTTTGCAGGTGAGTCAGGCTGAGCCAGGTGAAGCAGCACCAGTGGCCTGTGCCTGCTGGGGTTGGGGCTGGAAGCCACTGAGCCACTTCCCCAGCCCCTTGTCTGTGCCCGACATGCCCCCCCTGCCCACAGAGGTGGAGAATGTGGTGGACACCATCCTTTTCCTGCTGAGTGATCGAAGCAGCATGACCACAGGCTCCACTGTGCCAGTGGACGGGGGCTTCTTAGCTACCTGAGCCCGCCCACCTCAGCCCCATACTTAGCCTTCCCCTGCCCTCCAATAAACCTCATTCTTCAGCTCCCTGTGTGCCGATTCTGAGGGAGGCCCAGGCCCAGCAGATTCACCAGCCAGACCAGGTGGTGGCCTGGCTCTCACACCTGAGACTCAGGCCCGACTGGCCTTCTGGCAGGAGCTGGGGGGTGAAGTCTTCATGAAGGCTGGCTCCTACAGTGGTGGCCTGTGGCAGGGAGCTGTGTGGCAGGGAGCTGCAGCCACCTGACTGTGGGCCTCCCTTGGAGTTAACGAGGGAGAGGCACGTCAAATTCACTCATGCACTGGTGCCCGAGCGACCTGGTTGATTTGACAACTGTCCCCCCATACTGGAACACCCCACAGCTTTTGTGCTCCAGCTGTGGGCTTGCCCATTTCTGTGGTGTAAAGACCCTATTTCAAGCTGCTCACTCAATGTCACTGGATGTGGAGTGGAGAGAGGTGGGCAGTAGCACCCTATTAGGTCCAGTAGTAAATGGAAACATCCCGAGGCACAGATGACACTGTTATCACAAAATAGGTGGTCACGTGTTGTATTTTTGTTACTAGGGATTGAACCCAGGGGTAATTTATCACTGAGCCATGTTTGCAACCCATTTATTTTTAATTGTGAGACAAAGTCTCATTAAATTGCTGAGGCTGGCCTCAAACTTAACGATCCTCCTGCCTTAGCCTCCTGACTAAATTTGTTTTTAAATATACTTTTTTAGTTGTAGCTGGACACAATATCTTTATTTTATTTTTATGTGGTGCTGAGGATCGAACCCAGGGCCCTGCACATGCTAGGCAAGTGCTGTACCTCAGAGCCACAAACGCAGCCCCTACATTTGGTTTTTTTTTTTTTTTTTTTTTAATATTTATTTTTTAGTTCTCGGCAGACACAACATCTTTGTTGGTATGTGGTGCTGAGGATCGAACCCGGGCCGCACGCATGCCAGGCGAGCGCACTACCGCTGAGCCACATCTCCAGCCCCCTACATTTGGTTTTAATAGTTGCAAGTTTAATTACTAATGACGGCTGTTGTTAACAAGTAGCTAGCAAAACACCTGGAAACGCATCAATCAGCCCTCCTGAGCCAGTGTGAACTGCCTGGGCACACCATGGGGGTGGCCAAGTGTGGCCCTGCAGGGCACCCTCTAGTCCTGGGTTTGTCTGAGGCCTCCAGGGTAAAGTCCAAGCCCTGGACTATGGCCCGGCCCTCCCTGGGCTGCCCCCACCTCTTCTCTCATCTCAGCAAGATCAGCTGTCACTCCTCCTGACCGCCATTTGTTTGGTGAGGCTGGGCCCTTCCTCTTCTTAATAGCAGCCAGAGGAGGTTGGTGCTGTGGGGAGCCGCCCTGGGTCCAGCAGGACTTCATGAGGCCCGGCCGGGCTCCAGCCTCTGCACACCTTCCCTGGCAGCCCCCCAGGCCCCGGGTCAGCCAGCATCCAAAGGGGCCAAAGGCACCTGCCTTGCTGTGGTCTGGGGAGGGCTGTGGGGCCGGGAGCAGTGCCTCTGACCCAGGGYGTGAGAAGCACAAAGTCCCATTTGGGAGCCTGTGTCCAGGCCTGCTGCCACAGACCCCTCCGCATCTGCCGGGGGTGGCTGGGGGTGAGCCGCCCAGGGCGATGGGCAGGACAGGCAGTGAGAAGCACGAGTGTCGATGGAGAATGTTTTATTGTATAAAATAAGAAGGGGCCGCCCCCTCTGGGGACGTAGTGGACAGAACCTTCCCCCCCMCCCCCCCCCACCCCTCAGGGAAGCCCATCCTGGGGCTGCCCTGGACCCACCCCTGCAGCCCTGAGGGAGACCCTGCTCCCTCCTGGCCTCTCATGGGGGCCAGGGAAGGCTGGAGTTGTACCCCAGAAAGAGGAGGCAGAGGGGACAGGACCCTGTCACCCCAGCCTTGTCCCCATGCTTCCCCTCCCCACCCATACCACTCCCCACAGCAGACACCAAACAGCTCAACACAGGGCACACTTGGGCCAGGCGCTGTCCCTCCCCAGGCTGGCCTGGGGGGGCTCTAGAAGACCGTGCACTTCTTGCCAGGCTTTTTCACAGGGGGTGGGCAGAGCACTGCCCGGATGGCCTCATCAAATACCGTCTTCAGGCCCCGCTGGGTCAGGGCAGAGCACTCCAGGTACTTGACAGAGCCTGGGGACAGCAGGGTAGTGGTGGGAGAGAGAGGGGTCAGCGAAAGGACAGTGAGGATGGGGGCAGTGGGAAAGCAAGCAGGGACCCCAGAACACACCCTTTATCTCCCACCTGGGGCCATGCTGAACCCACTCACCAATCTCTCGGGCCATGGCCAGGCCCTGTGGGTAGGTAATAGGTGCCAGCTTCTTGTCCCGCAGCCGCTCAATGGTGTCCTTGTCATCACGGAGGTCCAGCTTGGTGCCCACTAGGAGGATGGGCGTGTGGGGGCAGTGGTGCCGCACCTCTGGGTACCACTGTGGGGACAGAGGCTCTGAGCCTGCAGGCACTTGGCCCCCTCTATCTAGGCTGCTCCCCCAGCCCTGCCCAGGGCAGGCCCCGGTTCTCCAGGTCTCTTCATTCCCTCCTTGGACACGCTGGGCCCCTCCACTCTGGGGCACACTGGGGACACGACGGGGAACACAAATGCCCGGCCAGAAGGCCTTAAGGCGCACCAGGCCACCAGTCAGGGCCCACCTCCAGGGGGGAGCTGTCTGCCCCCTGACAGCAGTGTCCCCCTGAAGCAGAACGACATTCCGTTTCCTCTGACGGACACGCTGCTTAAGGTGTGCAGGAAGAGATCCCCGACTTGGGGCAGAGGCTCAGGGCCAGCCCTCCCCAGGAAGTGCGGTCCCTCCAGCCGGGCCTACCTTGGCACGGACGTTCTCAAAGGAAGCTGGGCTCACCAAGGAGAAGCAGATGAGAAAGACGTCCTGGAGGGAGGGCAGATGAGAGGTCAGGAAGGGCTCAGAAGCTCCCTGTCCCCACCCTACCCAAGCTCTGCAGCTCCTTTGGCTGCCCTGTTGTCACCTACAGTTTGAGGATAGGAGAGCGGTCGCAGCCGGTCATAGTCCTCCTGCCCTGCGGTGTCCCACAGCCCCAGGTTGACTGGCTTCCCATCCACCATCACGTTGGCTGAGTAATTGTCAAAACTGCAGAGCAAAGTGGCAACGGGGCTCGACAGGGGCTCGACAGGCCACCCAGCAGCCCGAGGGAGGACTCAGGTTCTTAATTAAGTCTGCTGCCCAGCGCTTCAACTCCACTGAGGAGGCCCACAACCTGGGCCACTTGGGGCGAATGAGGGGCCCAGAGGCGTCCCCGTGTGCGCTCAGCCCCCCAGCCGGTTGCCGCACCTCCCACCCGCACGCACTCACACAGTGGGGATGTACTCTCCGGGGAAGGCGTTGGTTGTGTAGCTGATCAGCAGGCACGTCTTCCCCACGGCGCTGCGGACAGAGGGCCAGCCCACGTGGTTCGTGGGCCCAGCCTCGCACCCTCTGCCTAACAAGGGCAGCCCCTCCCACGGAGCCAGAGACCAGTTTGGGTGGCTGGGAGGGTGGGGTGGGGCCCGGGGACCCCCAGCAGATCCAGAGCCACCTGGGACTGGGATAGAACATCCAGGGCGCAGAAGCAGAGCCTCCCCACCCTGGGTCCGGCGCGAGATCCACGCGCCCGAGAGGGCGGCAGGAGAGGGTGGGGCTGCGGAGGGCTCGGTGCAGGTGAGAGGCCTGGCCCCACCCACCAGGAGCCCAGGCGGGAACCCGCCAGCATCAGGTGTGCCCGGGCGGAGCCCGCGGACCGCGCAAGCGGGACCCGCCCCACCCGCCCCTGGGACCGGCGGCCGGGCCGGGGAGAGAGCGTCAGGGGCCATCCCACCAGGACCCCGCGCCGCCGGCCGCCGCGCCCCGCCCCGGTCCCGCCGACCCCGCACTCACCCGTCGCCGACCACCACGCACTTGATGGCCTGCATGGGCGCGGGGCCGGGCGGCGGCGGGCGCGGCCGCGAGCCGAGCTGCGGAGAAATGCCCGGCGCCGCAGCGGCCGCGGACCCGAGCGCCGAGGAGCGGCCGGAGACAGCCGAGCGCCGCCGAGCGCGGGGCGCGGAGACAGCCGAGCGCGGCGCGGCGCGGCAGGGCGGGGCGGGGCGGGCGAGCTGCGGCGGGGGCGGGGCGGCCAGTCCGTCCCCGCACCCGCGAGCTGCCGCGACGCTCGGACCCGGGGTCCACACCCCAGGGCCAGGCCTGCGCGGCGGCGGCGCTTCCGGGGACACCGCCCCCCTGCGGCCGGGAAGCCGCTGGCGAAGACGGAGACGCGCGGATCTGCAGCCCCGGGCCGGGACCTGGCGGCCCTCCGGGCGCGCGGCCGCAGCGAGCGGCGACCCCGCCCCGCCCCGCCCCCGGGGGCCTTCCCGAGGGGTCGAGAGCGGCACACAGAGAAAGGCGCTGGGCCAACAGGCATCACCGAGAGCAAAAGTTGTGTATTCCAGACTGCGCTTGCGGTGGGAACGCCCTCCCTCCGCCGCCGCCGCTGTCCCCGCGTCGTTATGGGATCGGGACCCAGCAGCCCCTTCCTGTGCACGCGCACCCCTCCTGGCTTAGGGCTGGAGGGTCACTTTGGCTTGGGCCGCACGCCCATGGAGCGCCAGGTTTGTTTGTCCCCACGGTTGAAAAGGCCTGAACTCCAGGCCTGCCCTCGAGGAAGGATGCTTCCAGGGATGCCACCCCTCGGTTCTGCCAAGGCGATCCTGCTTTCCTTGCCTTTCACTTTGGGGGACTCAGAGATCTCAGGGGAGACCCCTGCACATAAGCCAAGACGGCATTTTGTAGGAAGCTCGCCCGCTGGGCCTCCTCGTCCCGGATGCGCGCGATCTCAGCCTCTTTGAGTCTCAGCTTCTCTCGAAGGGACGCGTTCTCGCTCTCCTTGTCCAGCAGCGCCTCCCGGTGGTCACTCGCGATCACTGCAGGCGAGGGGTTCAGTGAGAAGGGGCCGCCGCTGAGACCCGTTCCAGCTCACTCTCAGGCCAGGTGTGAACGAATGCACCTTTCAGCTGTCGTTCCAGGGCTGCCACTTTCTCCCTCAGAGTCTCCTGGGCTGTCAGCTCGGCCCGCAGGCGGCCCATCTGCTCCTGCAGCTCCACTCGCACTCTGGTCACCTCGGCTACCTTTTCCTGGTCTTTGTTGCTTAACTCCTGTGGGGTATGGGGATGAGACCCAGCAGCAGCAGGCACCCCTGGGACCTGCATCCCTGGAAGCCCCACTACCTGCTGCAGCTCCTCTATGCGCCGTCTCTGCCCCTCCACCTGCAGGCTGAGCTGGCTGGCACGCGCCTGGGCCTCAGCCACTGTCTGCTTCTGCTGTATGCAGGTGCCCTGAGCTTCATCCCGGGCTTGCGCCAGCAGCCGCAGCTTCTCCTCCAGATGAGCCAGGTGCTGTTGCTGCGGGCGGGCATGGGAGGCACTGCTGCCCAAGGGCCTCCTGGCCTGAGCAACAGTACCCATATGCACTGACTCCCACCTCTAGGCAAGCTGAGGGAGGGCTCCACAGTGCCACTTGTTATCTCTGTGCCTCCAGGACCATCCCCTGGTGCAACCCCAGGCCTGAGTCTAGCCCTGTTGATTCCTGGTGCTGCCCTCTCCCCTCTCAGAGGCCTAGCTGTGGGGCCCACAGCCCTGGCCTTGCCCACATTAGCCACATTCCCAAGGGCTCATTAGTCCCACAGGCCTTGCAGGGTACTGCAACCAGCCATGTGTACCTGTGGCCATGCCTCACCTCCTCCAGGCGGGCCTGGTTCCTGGCCTTGATGAGCTCCTCCTCAGCCTGGCCACGCTCGCTAAGTGCTGCTGCCTTTACACGGCTCAGCTCCTGCACCGAAACCACAAGCTAGCCCATCCTGCTCTGGCCCAGGATCCCTTCTGGGCCATGAGGCTAAAACCAGGAAGGTGTGCTCCAGGGTTCCAAGACGGGACACAACTGGAGCTGCCACCCCTCGTTCACCCTAGGCTGGAGCTTGCCTCAGTCCACGTGGCTCACCTCCTCCAAGGACAGCCTCAGAGCCTCCAGCCTCTGCAGCCTCTCCTGCATGGCCCTCTCACTTTCCTCCAGGTGTCGGGTCATGTGCTCCACCTGCCCAGGAGTGGAGTCAGAGGTCAGGGTGGGGAGGTGCAGGCTCTCCAGCCCACCCCCATGGAATCCCTGCCCTGGAAGGCACATGTCTCTGGGGGCACCCTGAGGGTGCTGGCAGGAGCCAAGCACAAGGGCACAGCCCAGCCCTGGTGCCCTAGGATGCATGCCAGAGCAGGGCAGGTGGGCATCCTTTTGCCTGTGGGGAGCACACATCAGATTGCACTACACAACGCACACCGGAGGGCCTGGGCCTGCCACCAGCAACTCAAGACCAGTGAGGGGACCCCATGAGGGGTGCGCTTTGGGGCCATGGCAGTCTGTATGCACCAGGTGGATGGGGGAACCGGGGGAACCAGGGGCCCCATGATGTGCACCAAGAATGCACCTCCCTGAAGCGCAGTTTTTCGGAGTCCTCCATGTTCTGTCTGGCCCTTCTCTTCTCCACATCCAAGCGCTCTAAAGCACAGGAGGAAAGTGTGATGAACCTTCTCTGGAATGCTCCATCCCTGGGGCTCCCTGTCCCCTCAGTGGCAGGCCTGCCTGTGCCTACCCTCAGCCTGRACAACTCGAATCTTCAGCTCAGCTGACGTGTTGGTCAGCTCCTGCCTGGTCAGAAACAGCTCTTCCTGCTGAGATTTTAACTTCCGCTCCAACTCATCCACCTGGAAAGCCAGCAGCATGGGCCGGAGCTGGGCCAGCCAGGCTGGCCCCATCTTGGCTCCCTGGGTGGTGACCCCATGACCCTCGTACCTGGTTTCGAAGCAGCAGGTTCTTTTCATTGGCAGCAGACAAGTCTCTGAGGAGCTTAGACTCCCGTTCTGCAGCTTCCTGAGTTGGGTGTGGGGTGAGTACCACTGGTTACACTGCTGCCCCCCCCACCTGCCCGCTCGCACGTGCCCCACCTGCCGGCTCGCACGTGCCCCACCTGCTGCTCCAGCCTGCGTTCTTTCTCTTCCCTCTGTGACAGACTCAGCCGTTCTTGCTCTGCCGTGGTCAGCAGCTCCCCCAGGTCCTGGGACTTCTGCTCCGACAGAGCCAGGGCAGCCTCAGTCATCTGCAGCCTGCAAGAAGAAGGGCCAGCCAGCTCCGCCCCAACTCCATCAGCAATGTCCGGGGGCCTCTCTCCTGCAAACCCAGCCAGCACTCACCTCTCAGAGAGAGCATTCGTGAGTAACCACTGCCTCTGCCTGTGCACAGGCCGTACTCCCTTCCCCTGCCCCCTGGGCACAGCTCCAGTGTTCTGAGGTCACCCCTCTCCCTGCTTACTTGGCCTTGAGGGCATTGATGATGGAGTGCCTCTCCTTCAGGGCTTCCTGAAGCTGCCCCACACGTGCTGCCGATGCCCTGTGTGCAGAGGAGGGTCTGAGAAGCCCAAATCCGGGAGCCCTCCCTGGCCTGCCAAGCAGCCCTGGTTCCTTCTGCACCTGCGGCTCACCAAACTCGGAACTGAGAGGGTGTGTGGCACCTGCACTGACCCTCCAGCCCTCCTGGGGAAGCTCACAATACAACTCCTTCTCATTCTCAGGCAAGTGACCCCAGGTGTGCAGCTGAGCTGCAGCCCCGCCTCCCCAACCCTGGGCCCACTCACTGGCTGCTCCTGGCCATCTCTTCTCGCTGCTTATCGATTGTCTCCATCAAATCCAGAAACTGGGGACAGAACAGGCCAAACCCTCTTCAGGGTCCAGAGACTGCTTGCCCTGCCCTGCCCTGACCAAGCAAAGGAGAGCAGATGCCCACCTACACAGTTGGGCAACACTCAGCCCCTGGCCCCAAGCCTCATTCAAAGGAAAAGTGCCCTGCAGAGAGGAGCTGGAGGCTGGGACACTGGCTCTCACGTGGCACAAGGAAGTAGGACCAGGAGGTCACCTTAGGGGTGGTTATCTGTGCCTCAGAGGCTCCAAGGTCTGGAGGAAGGAAAGATAGGTATAGCACGGGTGCAAGGGAGTAGAGAGCGGGCCACAGCCAGCTGCATCCACAGCAGCCAGACTGGCCTGTGGGCAGCTCCGAGGTCTGTGAGGGTGTCTGCTTACCTGCTTGGACTTCTCCTCCTGGAGGTACTGGACCTCCTTGCTGAGCAGGTGGGTGCGGGTCTGGGTCTCCTGGAAGGCAATATGCCGGTCCCGGTTGTGCTCCATGGCTTGCTCTGTTGGAAGGAGCTGTATTATCCACTGGGTGGGTGTCTGCTCAGCCTTAGGAAAGGCAGAAGACTGGCCCAGCCCTGCACCGGCTATACTGGAAAAATGGCCATTTGGGAACCAACACTGTGGCAGGTACCATCTCTAACAAATCGACACACCCGCCTCCAGTACAGGGGTGGGGGGGGGGCTGGATGCAGGAGGTGCCTGGTATGGGGGCATCTCTTGCACATCTGGGGAGGTCACTCCACCACAAGGTGGCCACCATGCTGGAGCATCTGTCCTCTACCACAAAGGTTAAGGGCCACTGTACGACCTTAACAGGTATTCTGGAAAGACCTAGGCAGCTGTAGAAGTCAAAAGCCCTTTCTACAGCTACTGCTTGCATGGAGGAAGGTCCAGGAACAGTGAGAACTTGGAGATGACAGAGGGTTAGGCAGACCATCAGGAGGAGGTGACCCTACGGCAGAGGAGTGTGGAAGAGGCCACGGTCCAGACTCTGGGCCCATGCTCAGACTTCTGTGGCTAGCATTGTACAACAGATGGAGGGTTATAAGATGTGGATCTGCTATCCTGGGGCTGAGGTGTCATCCACAGGGACTTGGGGGAGGGGTCACCAGTAGGAGAGGCCATAGCTCAGGCAGAAGCAGCATAGGTCATGTGGCCCTGTACCTAYAGGTCTCTTAAGCACAGCCACAAACACAAGGATGACCAGGAGACAAACACCAAGAAAATACCCTTCCTAGCTAGGGCCAGGGCTCCTAGTCACAGGGCCCCAAGTTTGCCGGTCTGTGAAATGTGACATCCCTCCCCCATCCGGGGTCCTAAGAACTGAACGAGCACGTGGCTAAGTCCTCGACAGCCACAAGCAGCAGGCACCTATTGGGGAGCCTTCTGCTCTTCCCTCATCTTCCTGGTGCCTTCCTAGGCTGGGCTACTCCTGATAAGCTTACCTGTCCACAGCCCTGAGCTGCCCCCCTCCCATGGTGGACAGGCCTCTGTCAAAGGGCTTCATGCCTTGCTCCAAACTGAGCAGCAAGCAGCCTCGTGCACCCGTACCCACGGCTCTGAGGACATCACTGGGGACGTTGTTCCCAGCCAGGTCCAGCCTCCACAGGGTTCTGTTGCTGGGGAGACAGTTCACCAGGGCCCGGCCCCCCAGGAGGCCAACGTTATTCCAGCGCAGGTCTGGAAGGAAACCTGTTGTCACTAGATGGAAGGCACCTGGCAGGGTGGGGGAGCTGGCCTAGCCCAGGTTGCTTCCTTTGCCTCTGGTTGCCAACAAAGCAGGAAGCCCAGCCCACTCCTTCCAGCAGCAGAGGGATGAGGGAGCAGGGGATGAAGGAGATGCCCCAGGTCCCACCAGGGAAGCCCGAGTGCAGAAGGCCTCACCCAGCTGCTGGAGGGCAGCATTGCCCTTTAGGGCCAGGGCCAGCTCCTCTGCCCCCTTGTGACTGATCTGGTTGTTGCGGAGGTCCAACTGCTGCAGGGTGCTGTTGGCTGCCAAGCCCCCACAGAAGGTGGCAAAGGCATCTTCCCAAGTGCCCAGGTTGTTCCACTCCAGGGTGAGGCTGTGGGAAGGGGACTCGAGGTGCTCAGCCCAGTGGAGCACCTGACCTAGGGGGACCCAGGGCCTAGAGACTACAGAGGCTGTGGGTAGAGGTTGGAGTCTCCTGAGTGATTCATACCCACCGACTCCCCACCGACGGATGTGGAACCCAGACAACAGGACTATGTCCTCTGGGGCCAGCCCCGAGCCACAGGGACCTGGGAGGTGCAGGTGGGTTGGAGGTGCTGTACCTCTGAATGGACTGGTTCTGTCGAAGGAGTTTTCCCAGAGCCTCAGCCCCTGCAGCTCGAAGGTTATTGCCCTAGGATAGGAACAGCCTGGCCAATTACTTCCTGTCACCCTAGTAGGTTCTGAATACCACATCCCTACCCCTTAGAGCTTTGGTCGGGCAGTAGGCAAGAGTAGGGAGGCAAGCTCTGGAAGAGGCACGTGTCCTTTCAGAACCTAGTTTCCCTGTATCCTGGGACTGGTGCCCTCAGCGTTTATGGGAGCACTGCCCTCAGCACAAACGTGTGGAACAATCAGAGGGGAGTCATGGAGGCCCTGGGCGCCAGAAGATCTTACAGACATGGTTTCTGGCCACTGTCAAGACCCAGACCCTAGGACCCTGCTTTTCCCCCTCTCCTACCCAAAGTGCAGGCGGGCTCACCTTCAGATCCAGAAACCGAATGACAGTGTTGGCACACAGCCCTTGGAGCAGTAGTGTGGTTCCTGGATAAAGGAGATGAGTGGTCACTCTCTGCCTCTGCTGGCCCTGAGCCCTCACTGTGGGCCCCATCTCAGGGCATTTCCCCAGACACAGGAGGGAGGACTGCCCTGCTGTTCCCACTGTTCTGGGTTTACAATGGAAATCAGTCTTCTTGCTCCTTGTAAAGTTAGTTTGAAACATCTGCTGCCCTGCCAGGCAGCCCTGGGCTGTTGATATCTCAACGTTAAGGCTCCTCTTCCTCAGCTATACAGGGAAACTGCCCTCTGCTCCCAGGTTTTGGGAGGGGACACTTTCTCACTTTAGGACATACAGAGAAGAGGAAACGATCAAGTGGCACAGAAGAATTCCCTGCCTGCAGCTACAGAGGCCAGCCCTTTAAGTTGCAGAGGCCACCCTGCAGCTCAGGCACCCACCTTCCTCGCTCAGCATACAGTCGCTAAGGACGAGCTCTGTCAACAGTGTCTGATTCTGCAGCAGCTTGCCCAGGGCCCTGCAGGTGTCCACCGTCAGGCTCTGCGTGGCCAAGTCCAGCCGGCCCCGTGGAAGCTGGTGCAGTTGCTGCAGGACAGCCTCCTGGGGTTCGGACCCACTCTCCTTGCACAGGCGGCTGTAGGAACGCCGGAACTCCTCCATGTCCCCGAGTGCGGACTGGGCCTCCCCTTCATGCTCCTAGAGACAGGCTCCACATGAGCCGGCTGGGCAGGCGACCGAGGGGCCTCCTCCCTGGGGGCCTACACCTAACTGCGGGAGGGGCAGCCGCTAAACACCCGGCTCAGCGCGGGCACTCGTGGCGCCCGGGCGCGGTCGGCGCCTCGAACGACGGGGGCTGGGGGTGAATTTCGCTGATCCTAAGGGGGAGGCCTAGGAGGGTGGGATGGGAAGGTGGATGGATGGTCGGGACCGCTCAAGGAGGGCGTCCCAGGTTGGCAAGGGAAGTCAAGGAAGCAGGCAGGCGCGTGGCACGTACCCCGAACCCACCCTACGGACCCCGCGGCTCCCAGCCCGCCCTCACGCCGCGGAACCCACTAGCAGCCTCCGCACTTCCCGCGGCCCGGGGCGCCACAGTATCCAGGAAGAGCAGGGGACGCCGGGAACGACGAAGGGGACTACAACTCCCAGGAGGCGTTGCTCACCAAGAACCAATGAGAGAGAAGGGCGGGCGCGCGCTGCAGAATGCAAGCCTAGGAKCTCCGGCTCATTGGCTGGGAGTGGCGGTGTGGGGGCGGGGTTACAGGGGAAGCGCTCCGTGTCATTGGCCAGGGGTGTGACCAGGCTCATTGGCTGAGGCGCAGGTTTCGCGGAGCGCGGGCTGCGGTGGCGGTCATGGAAGGATCCTGTGCGGGCTTCCGGAAGGTGAGACCCATGGCTGGCGGGCTGAGGATGCTCACGCTGCAGCCCCAGCGTGACACCTGAAAGGGCCCGAAGCCTGTCCGCGCGCTCTTCTAGGGCGAGGTATCGCGGCCAGACCGAGGGGTCTGCGGAGGCAGCCGGGCCGCCGCCCGCCCCTCGGTTCCACGGAAGAGTCGGCGCGCCGTCCAGCCTCGGAGCCGCAGGGCGTCCCACACCGCCCGGCTGCACGCTGGCCGGGCTCTGTCGGGGCAGAGGCGGCTGCGGCCTGCGTACTCACCGTGGGCGGGCGAAGCTGCCGCGCGGAGGCGTTCCCTAGGCGGTAGGGCCGGGATAGCCCCGGGCCCCGAGGACCTGGTCTTGGAGAGGAGGAGTTGCGGATCCCAGAGGGAAAGTCACTGCGGCTTGGGCACTGCCTGAGACAAGACCCGGGAAGGGTCACAGCCTGTCGGGCTTTGGATTAAGCCCACCTGGACAGCTAGATCCTTGCGGGCTTTGGCTAGAGCTGGGGTTGTGATCTTTACACACAAGCAGGCGTCCTCAGCGAGGGTGACAGAGGGGACTTGTAGCCTTGTGAAGCCTGTGTGGCGGGGCCCCGGAGCTTGGCATGTTCACAGTGCCTTTGCTGACCCTGCCTTCCTGGAAGTCACTGCAGAATGACTCCAGCAGCTGTCGTCCAGCCCCAGGCAGTGGCTGCCTCTCCTGCGTGGTCTTCCAGGGCAGCATGCCAGGGGTCCTGGAGCAAACGGGGAAGGAGGCGCCTTCTCTCCCTCTTCTAGTACCCTCCTGGTATAGCACTTGATAAGCAGAACCAGCAGGTGGCACTAGGCTCCTGTTCTCGTTGACAGGACCCCTTCTGGCCACTGGGCTGTCTTCCCAACAGGTTCTTCACCAGCTCTCAGAACTTTGCCTCTGCATTCACTTTTGCCCATGCTTCTCTGCGCTGGGTGAGACGGTGTGGCCTCCCTGTGGCTGATGCTAGTGGCCTGATGGGTGCTAGCTCACCCTCCCCTGTGTGACAGCCTGTTGTCTGGGCTCCTGGGTGCCCATTGCTGCTGCCCTCCCTCCTCCCCACCTGGCCCAGGATGCTTCCTTTCTCATCTGCTTCCAGCCCTGCGAGTGGTCCCTTGGCCCCACAAACTGCATGGGTTCTTCTTGTCCAGCTGCCCTGACCCCCAGGTTCACTCACCATATCACCATCTCAYAGAAGAGTGTCATCCTTTCAGGTGTCAAGCCACACAGAGGGAAGCCCAACAGCTAGGCCCCACAGCAGAGCCTACTTTTTAAGACCTCAGCAGCCCAGTCTTTCCTCGACGGTGCCCTTCCACCCACAACCCGGAAATGGCACCCAATTTCCTGCCAAGGAGAGCTTAACAGGTCTCAGGCCTCTGTCCAGCCCCTGCCTAGCTAACTGCAGCCCAACTCCTGTTCCCACCACACCGGTCACCTCCACCAGAACAATGATGCCCCTTTGCATCCACTATGCAGCATGGAGCTGGTGCCAAGTGAGACAGTATTGGTGGGCAGATCTTCCCAGGCCTCTGGAGCAGGTAGCTGTAGCATCCCCTCCGCCCTGCCCATTTGAACTAGGGCTCTGCTTCCTCATGGAGAGCCACTGCCCCTCAGGCCCCAGGGTGATGCAACAAGACCTCTCCCTTTCTTTCTCCCCAGAGCCCCGAGGGTGCAGGTGGCTCCAAATGGGATTTCTTATCCCTAGAAGGGGTCCCACAGGCCCCCCTACCAGTCCTCCTGGACAAACTCTTCCCCCTCAGCACAGCCAGATGCCTCCCCGATCCTGAGACCCTGGGGTGGCAGTGCTTTTAGCTGGAAGTCAACCTGTTCCTTCCAGAAGGGGTTGACCCTCCCTCCCCTCCAGGAGCTGGTGAGCAGGCTGCTGCACCTGCACTTCAGGGATAGCAAGACCAAAGGTGAGTGCCAGTGGGAAGCTTGCAGGAGAAGGGAGGTGTGGGGGGGTGTGGGGACAGGGTCTCCTGAGGGCTCTCTTGTTCCTTACAGTCAGCGGGGATGCACTGCAGCTCATGGTGGAGTTTCTGAGGATCTTTGTTGTGGGTGAGCCAAGGGCCCAGCAGCTAAAAAGCAAAAAGCATTCAAAATTCTTTTACTTTTCAACGTGAACACTAAGCTTTTCTCAGTTCCCACAAACACCTAAGCTGTGCCCCTGACAGGGAGGAGCCACAGCCTGGCTCTTCTCAGGGGTGCCAGTGGGTGCAGGGGGTGGCGCAGGGCCAGGGCTCCAGTCCCCCGACTTTCACCCCCTCACTTCTCGGATTCAGAGGCAGCTGTCCGGGGGGTGCGCCAGGCCCAGGCAGAGGGTGCAGTGCTTGTGGACGTGGACCAGTTGGAGAAGGTGCTCCCTCAGCTGGTACGTGGAGTGCAGGATGGCTGGTCTGGGGTGTCCTGGGGGGTGCCTGGCTGGCTGCTGAGTGCCCTTCTCCCCAACAGCTCCTGGATTTCTAGGGATGTTCATCCTCCCTAGGTCACCCCCAGGGTGGCTGAGTGTCTTCTGAGGCCTGTGGGGTCTGCAGTGCATTGACAACAGTGTTATCACCTGGTTCTCAAGAACCTCCTCCAGTGTTTGAAGGGCACTAAGGACCTAGCACTCGGTGCCCTTAATAGTATCCTGTCCCCGTGGCTCCCAGCCTGATGAGACTCTGGGACACACAGGCAGGTACAGGGAACAGATGGACTGGCCTGCTTCCCATTCCCAGCCATGCCAGTATGTATTGTAGCCACCCCAGTATTAAGAGCCCACCAGCAGCTTGTTAACCATATGGGCCTCCCCTAGAGGATGCCCCCCCTCCAAGCTGCAAATTTGTTCCCACAGACGAACACCAATAAATCAACATCTCTTCTCCCAGGCTTTGCCTTGTTCCTCCTGGTCACCAAAGTCAAGTTGCTTCAAAGCCTTAGCCTGCATGTCCCCTTTCATCCATCTTGGTAGAATGAAGCCACACCCTTAGGAAGGAGAGGATGGGCAACAAATGGCATGTGTGCACTGTCCACCAGGGACTAGGCCAGGCCACAAGACAAGAGCCTCTACACATGTGGCCAGCTCTCCTACAACATACTGTTCCGTTCACAGGCCACAGCAGGCAGTCATGTCCAGGAGCATTGCCATGTGCTGGTCTCGGGCCACGGGGCCCACTTACTATGGCCAGGACCAGGATACACAGGATGAGAGGGACCCAGAGACCAGATAGATGCTTCCAGGTCTTGTACCTGCTTCAAAGCCATGCTGAAACGAAAACGGGCCTCTCCCATCCCTGCTCGCCAGTGGCCCCAAGCAAAGTACAGGTCAGCTGCAGGCCATGCCCACTGCCCACCTCAGCAATGCAAGGCTGTGTGGTCCCATGCAGGTGGTCTGGCAGTCCCAACGCTCAGACTGGCCAGCTAGCTCCACTTGTGCTGGAATTCAGGAGGCACACAGGGTCTTCTATCCCTGTCCCCAGCAGCACCTTGTAGGGCTAGAGAGTCCCCTCCTTGAAGCACCCAAAGCTGTTCTGTCAGAACACAGGGCGGGGACACCACTATACCACTGGGCACTTGGCATCAGATGTGGCCTCCTGGACTCCTGCAGGTTTCAGGTCTGGTGGGGGATGGGCACGTTTGGAGGGTGTGTGTTCAGGCCCCAGGGCAGGATGGACAGCACCTGCTCCTGCTAGGGCCCAGTGTAGCCTTGGAGAACCTTTGGAGGCAGGAGCTGGCCTGGGCATAAGCCCCACAGGTCCAAGGAGCAGCTGGGTAGGCAGGACTGCTCTGAGCTCCTGTGTGTCCCCACTCAGCAGACGGGTGTCTGCAGAAGTCAGGAGATCTGCAAGGGAGGGGCTGGCTGGTGGTGACACAAGGGCTCCAACTAGTGTAAGTGCCGGAACTGGCTCTGCAGTCCTGATGGGGGCCCAGGAAAGGGTCACCAGGATACCCTATGCTAGGCCCTGCCCAGGGCGGCCCTGCAGGGGTAGAGGAATGGCCTACTTTCTCCTCCTCCTTTCTAGTAGAGTACTGAGATTAATTTGGTGACAATAGGGAGAAAGCCATTGCACCTAGGGTCTGGCCTGCCCAGACCTTTTGCAGGGGACACCAGAACTCTTGTATCAGGAACACCAGTCCAGCCAGGCTTCTTGGGGCCAGCCTGGTCGTGGGAGAGGAGTGAGCGGGACAGAGGCCTGGGGGCCTTTGCTTCAGGAAGGACGATGGAGAGCCTTGAGAGAAGCATGTCTTTATTCCTGCTTGGGGTGGGGTGGGGTGGAGTCCGGTCCTGCGGCTCTTGGATGGCAGCTCTCACCTCTTGCTGGCTGCAGCACAAATACACGGGGATGACTGTGGGTCCTGGGACCCTTGCCCACCCTGGTCAGCCAGCCCTGCCTGCCCACCACCAGCACCTGGCAGCCTCAGCCACTTGGGCACCTTGCCCGGGTTCCTCCTCATGGGTTGCACTGCCCCTGGGAGAGACCCAGGGGGTCCTAGTGCCCCCTCCTCAGCTGCTGGCTCAGACTCCAGAGGCACAGCACCAGGGGTTGGCAGTGGCAGGGGAGACCTGGTGGCCCTGGACATGCACCTGGGATGAGACACAAAAGTCAGGACGGCTGGCACTGCCCAGGAGACCCCTGCACCCAGGGCACTTACCTAGCCACCAGCACATCCGCTGCAGAAGGGGAAATGGTGTGTTCCAGCAGCCCTGGCTCCAGGTAGAGGCCTGCAGAGGCACAGCCTACCCTCAGCCCCTTGGGGGAGGGGACTCCCCCACCTTCCACCCACACTCAGCTCTGGGAGGGTGTTTGCCTGGGCAGGGAAGTAGGCATCTGGGTACAGACCTTCCCTCTAAGACCCACATGAAGTCCCCAGACTGAATACCCTCCAGGACTTCCTGCTTTGGGCATCAAATAAGCTGGGATTCATGGTACAGGGCAGTTGGCCAGGGTCAACAGCATGGTGGTCTCCCACTCACCTGTTGGTTCCTCAGCTCCGAAGTGTACAAGGGCAGCAGGGAAGAGGTTTGCCTGCAAAGGGGAGGGGGCTCAGGGGCTGTGCAGCGGTCTGTTGAGATGGCCACATCTCCCTACAGCAGCCTGCCCAGTTTGGATAGGGACCCAAAGGACTGCCCCAAGCCCCACCTGGAAGTGCACTTATTTCTGTGACTCCTGCATTTCCCGTCTCCTCCCTCCCACCCTTCTGCCCACAGCAGGGTGAGTAGTCAGCACTCTGGGGGCCAACTTCAAGGCCAACCTAGTCGGAAGGGACAGTGCTGGACAGGTGGTCTGGGAACCAAGGATGTCAGGGCAGGGCAACCTGCTGCTATCTAGGAACAGAGACCGTGAAGACAGGGGATGCCTATGACTCTGCTGACTGTCCATACCCCCCCATACCTGGTATTGCCCCCAAACTGGGGGACTTTGGGCAAGGGGTCTTCCTTTGGGCTGACAGGATGCGCTCAGACCCAGTGGGAGATAATAGTGTCCTGGGAGGGCAGGCCTGGGCTTGAAGGTGGGCTGCTGGTTTCCAGAGCCAAGCAGCTCTGGGGTCGCAGGCTGAGTGACCCAGCCAAGACAGGGCATCCCTCTGGCTAAGCCAAGAGGGCACAGGCTGCCAGAGTCCCTGAGTTCCTCATGTCCACTCAAATAAGGGTGACAAATGCTCTGAAGCCCAGAGGAGTCTAGCACCAATTCCTCCCCAAAGCGGGCAGGGGTGCAGGTTCCTGCTTGGGGACTGGCCTCACTTGCTTGGGCACCAGTGGGGAATCGAAGTGTACAGGGCCACATGTCTCTGACGCCTTGGGCATGTGGCTCTGAGAGCATCAGAGCTGCAGAGGCCTGAGAGCCACCAGTCAGGGCCTCTAGATCTTCCTCCTCCCGGCCAGGCCTCTGCACCACCAGAGCAAGGTGGGGGCTGGGCCCAGCCAACAGGCCTGGGGCTCAAGCTATATTCCTGGAAGGAGCTACAGCTGCTAGTTGAGGGTGTTCTCTCCTCGAGGCTCCAAGCTGCTGGGAGTGCCCAGGGCTTGCCAGGTGGGTGGGGTTGGGGAACGTTAAAAGATTAATACGAGTAGGCTTCAAAGGCCAGGCCTAGGAACACTGAAACCTCAGCCTGCAGCCGGCAGCAAGGGACACAAACAAGGGCGGTGAATGCTTTGAAACCCAACTGTGGGGCAGGCATCAAAGCCTAAGAGGAGGCCTGGGGTGGGGGCCTACTCAAAGCCCCTGCAGAGGCCCTGGAAACGGAAGCCTTCCTTGGTGGAGCATGGTGGTTCTTGCCCTCACGTGAGCCTCCCATGTGGCTGGCCCACCTCCACACCCAAAACACGTGTCCCTATGGGACCTGGCCAGGGTTCACACGCAGGCCACCGCCCCACAGACACATCTGGGAAGTTCGCCCCATCAGCACTGGCCATGTGCTCCACACCCACCCCAGCTAAGTGGGCTCCCTTGGAAGCTTCCAGGAGGGACCACACAACTCCCTCAGGTGGGGCCCCTCACCTGGAACTGCCTGTGCAGACGGGCAGTCAGGACCAGGAGCACCAGGCCAGGGAAGGGACCTGCAGGGATCCCTGGCAGAGCAGCCAGCACTGCTGCGCTGAAGGGACAAGGAGGTGGGGCAGCAGGCTGGGCAGCATCAAGGCTGGTTAGTGTTCAGGGCGGGCTAAGCCTGGGCCTCCTTGAGCCTTAGGGCACCTCCCACCTGTGGAAGCCTCCAGCTGGGCCCTCAAGAAGCCCCAAGGTACCTGCCCTCCAGGACCCAGGAACTGCCCCATCTTCACTGCCACCTCCTGTTCAGGCCAAAGAGCCAGGCAGCAGAGAAAGGCTGCCTCCATCTCTAAGCACAACCAGGTGTGCCCAGGCTGAGACCTGCTCAGAGGCAGCACGTGCCTCCAGGGCCTTCTCCCGAAACCCAAGGGACAGCAGGCTATGCCTTCCAAGGGCAGGGGCCACAAAGTCCCTGATTGTGGGGCTCACATGCTTCCTATGGGCTGATGCTGGGGTGGGAGCTGAGTCTCATCTGACCCAGGCTGCGGGGTACGCCAGAAAGGACCCTTGGAGCTGCTCACTCCTTCTGGCAAGCTGGAGTCTGGGGCCACCTCCACCCTCACGTCCTTCTCTGCTCTCAACCTGGAGACAGGGCATGCAGCAGGGCCAGCCTGGGGGTACAGGCTTGAGGCCTTGGGGAAGGAATCCTCTAGGGGAGTCCTCTAGTCCCCCTGGGCCAGCCCCGCCCCCAGCCAGGCCTTCCTGCCCACCAGTTCAGGGCTCAAGTCCTGAGTGAACCAGGGCCAGCAGAAAGGACATCCCACCATCTGTCCACCAATAGCCCCTGTTGGCCAATCTAACCCATTCTTGGGGCTGAGCACTGGCCAGGTTGCCAGGCCCTGGCCCAATCCCACCTGCCCATCCCCAGTAGACCCACAGAGAAGGGGTGGGGACAGACCTGACTACAACCTTCAAACCAACCGCTCCCCAAGACTTGGGGACAACTGAGAGCTCAGATGGGAAGGGAAAGATGGGGACATCAAGAAAGACAGATAGCAGCTGACACACAGCCCCCAGAAAACAGAGGGCAGGAGAGGCGGAACTCCTCCATGCTTCAGTGGCACCACAGGCCAGGCAGACACGGGACCTGAAGCTCAGGTCGAAAGACCCCTGGAGAGCAGTGCTGGCCTTAAGGGCCCTGTGCAAGGTGGTAGGTGGGGGCTGAGAAGGGCGAGGTGAGGACCCTGGCTCAGGGCAGCATCCTCACTAGGGTGCTCCGGCACAGGAACAGGGTTTGCCTGTTCCCATTTGGAGAACGGTTCTTGTCCTCACTCCTGACCACCCCACCAGTCCTCCCAGAAAACCCTTGCTGTCCTAGGCCAGTGGTGTCCCCCACGGGCACCCCATACCATCGTTCTCTTAGGCAGGCTGGGCCAGAGGGCCCCAGGCGGCAGGCGGTCAGAGCACAGCCCTGCCAGAGACATGAAAGCTGCGGCTTCCACACCGCCGCCTGCTCACCCGCCGGAGGGAGGCAGGCAGGCTTCCTTCCCGCAGCCCTGCCAGCTCTGATGATGGTGGGCATGGGCGCCACCCCTCACAAGGCCCTGAGGCTCAAGGCCCAGCAGACTGATGGAAGGAGACAGCTGCTGGTGGTGGGCAGTGTCACCAGGAATCAGGCACGGTGGACTGGAGGTGCCCGAGGCTCAGTGGGGGAGCCTCCTGACGCGGGCGGGGGAGTTGGACTCCGGCCCTCCATGCCAAAGCATCTTCCAAATTCAATGTTTATCAGCAGGCTGGCCAGCAAGGCAGGGAGGGGTGCAGAGGGAGAAGCCTGGCGCCTGGGGCTTTACGGGCCGAGAGGGGACGACACCGTCACAGGCCGGCTATTGCACCTCCACGCCCCTCGCTTGCGGGTGAGGCTTGGTGAGCTTCCGGCCCGCCTGCCAACTTTGTACCCCACCTCGCCCCAATGGTGGTGGCTCTAGGCAGCCAGCAGAGCCTGTCACCCCCAACCCAGACCTCTGCAGAGGCCTTTGGGCTGCCTCTGTTGTTAATTAAAATATCTGAAGACTCTTTGAAGAGGAAACTATTAGGCCAGAAGGGCTGGGGAGGCTCCAGCTGCTCTCCCAGGGGGCACAGGGACAGGACACTCATCCCTCCTGGCTCTGCAAGGCAGCAGGGCAGGGCACGGGATTAAATGGCCTCCCAGCGCCAGGACCTCCAGGGGTGGGTGGTAGAGAGTGGGTAGGCCAGTTGGGGACCAGGGGAAAGGCAGGAATATAGGCTGGCAAGAGCCCCCCAGCCCCAGTCCCCAGTCCCTCTCAGGCAGTCACTTCCAGCCAAGGGCTCCAACCAGTCCTGCCAGAGCCCTTCCTCACCCAAGTACTGGGCAGGGGACTCGTGTTACCCAACAGTCCAAGGGCCAGGACCTTCTGATGGCCCCAGCTCAGGATGGCTGGCCAGTCAGGCAGGCAGGCCCATCCCCGCCCTGGGGCCAGGCAGGAAGCGGAGGAGGTTGGAAAGCCCTGTCAGAAACAACTTCAGAGGCCGCGCTGCTCCCTCTGAATTCCCGGCTCTAAAAGGCTTTATTACCGCCGCAGCCTGCCAGGGCACTCCTTCCCAGCCGCAGGCCTCGCCCTGCCCAGCCTCCTGCCCTCAGCGCGGCCACCCCACCGGCACCCCCAGCAAAGCAGGTAGTACCTGGAAGAGGGTCAGCGTGTGGTCATCCAGGACTGTTCTGGGGGGGGCGACAACTGTGGAGAGAAGGCACTGTGAGGAGACGAGCCTGAGGGGCTCCTTGCTCTCCTCTGTGGCTGCAAAAGTCCGGCAAGGGGTCCAAGGGGCTGGGGCAGACCCACCCAGATGCAGCTCTCCCTGGACCACTGGCCACTCCCTGTGGACTGAGCCACAAGGTGGGGTTCAGGACACTCAGAGCCTCCCTCCCACCTCTGGCTCCTTCCTGCCTCCCCACCAGGTCCAACCATGACACTGACAGGTGCTGGTGGGGCCAGCTGCAGATTGCACGAGAGTGGAGGTGGGTGTGTGCCTGGGCCTGGACCCAGGAAACGGGGAGGGTAAGGAGTGGGCAGAGCGCAGGAGAAGGCACTCACACAGGTGAAACGGCAACTGGGGATTCCCCAGGTGGCTCCTCACGAAGTCTCGCAAGTCCCCCACTGCAAAGAGGGACGGAGCAGAGGGCTTCTCAGGACAGGCCCACACGCCTGCTTTCAAGACCTACCTTAAACCCCCACTGCCGGAAGGAAGCCCTGCCAGCCAGGGCACCATCAAGTCAGCCTGGGCATACGGTCCCCACAGGTTGGATTCTGCTCAAACCTTCTTGGCAGAGGCCAAACAGGGATGGGACTCCTTCTTCAGTACCCCAAGGCTCAGCCTGGCTGGACCACCATGCAGGCTGCTACTGGGCCCCGCTGCAGGGGAGGCCCGCTCACCCCCAGCCACGTGCCTCGCCAGGCCCAGAGCATCCCTTGCCTCTTGGTACCCATCACCCCAGTCTGAGCCCTGTCCAGGGGGAAGGCTCCCTCAGAGGCTGGTGTGCCACCTTGCCCCGGCTATCCTGGGAAGATCAGACACCGAAGCCCCCTGGGCCCCTTCTGTAAGGTGGGCCCTGAGCCCACCCTTCCTCTGGATGCCTGGTCGAATATGCTCTGAATAAACTCCTGTACATGAGCCTCCTTCAGCCAGGACTGAGCCCTGTCCCCCTTCCCTCATGGTCTGTGTCCAGGCTCAGAGCCCTCTGGCTGTCTGCAGAGAGCCCAGGTTCCCTGGAGCCCACAGGGAAATGGCCAGTGAGAAGGGCTCAGAGGGCCCCCACCTACCCYTCCACAGCAGGGCCACATACCTGTCTCGCTGGGGCGGAAAAAGCCCTGCAGGATGTAGCGGTCAGGGAAGAGGACCCTCAGAACCACCTAGGCCAGGACAAGTGGAACGGCCATCAGGGACTGTCAGAGTTCAGACTTGGCACAGGGATATGCCCCCATCGGCCCCCAACCCAAGCAGTGTCAGCTGTCCCCCAGTTGAGCAGAGCCAAATCCCAGGCTGGGGACAGAGATGGTCAAGCCTGTGTGCACACACATGCATGCCAAGAGCAGGTGTCTGCTTTGAAACCTGTGGTCTTAGCACTGCAGAAAAGGATTTCAGCATCAAACGCGGGCGCCTGGCTGGTCAGGCAACAGACCATGGCTGCACAGGCCGCCCACCTTCCACGAGCCCTGGTCAGCCCGTCTCAYGACTGCCTGCATGAGCCCTGGTGGCCTGCTGGCCACGCGCTGAGACGTCCCTGCAGGGGGGCCACAGGAGGCCCTGCTGAAAGCCCCCGMTCCCTGCCCACCTTACCTTTGGGTAGCGCTCCAGTTTCTCCTTCATCTGAGCTTCCCTGAAGGCCTTGGTCACCAAGGGGGCTTCTTCCAGGCGTTTCCTGTGGCAAGAGGGGCGGAAAGCCCAGGTCTCCCCAGTCAGAACAGAGCCCCTCGGGAGCCACTGTGGATTCTGGCACCCTCCCCACAGAGGTTTTGCTAAGGGCACGGGTGCCAGGGCCCTGGGCAATGCCCAATCCTGGCAGCCCCTGTGCACCCTGGGGAAGACCGACCGGACCAGCAGCCAGAGGCAGAACCCGCTTGGGGCAAACCACGGAGAAAAGACAAGATGCTGAGGGGCTGGGTCACCCACCGCTCACTCTTGAGCTGGGCCAGGCGTCTCCTCACGTCATCCACAGTCACCTCGAAGAACTCATCGGGCAGCTCTGCCGGCCAGGCCTGCAGCAGGTCCTCCAGGTCAGGGTGGCAGACCACAGGGTCTCGGTCCACGGGCTGTGGGCAAAGGGCCTCAGCTGACCTTGGTCTCCTGGGGCTCTTGGCCACGCGCTCTCTCYGTCTCTGCCCACCCCTCCCAGTCCACCTGCCAGCACAGGGCTAGGGAGGACTCGGAACAGAGGACAAGGGGACAAGCCCAGACAAGCTCCTTCAGGACTGAGCCCCGTCCCCCTCCCCCACTGCAGCACCCTGACCCATCACACCCTGATCTTGCTCCCCAGAAGGGCCTGTGGCCGCCAGTCTAGCGCAGGCCAGGGAGTCCTGGGGAGTGGGTGGGGGAACTCGGGCAGCTCCCTGCACACTTTCTGCTTTAGTGGGGGAACCCCAAGATTAGGAATCCACTATGGAACAACACCCCTATTCTTGGCCACGTCAGGGGCTCCACACAGGGGAGGCGCAGTGACAGTCACCAAATTAGAGTGTTGGCAAAAACCCCAGCAGCTGTCCCCGCTGCCCTCTCAGCCACAGCCCATGGCCAGGCTGACTCCATCTCTCCCTCCCCTGGGGAACCAACCAACCCTCCCTCTGCCCACCCTGGGGACAGAGGAAGGGACAGCGTCACTCCTAATTGGCATCAACAGCAATGAAAATTACAAGGCAGACCCGCTCCATCTGCGGTGCTCTGGGAGAGTAGGACACCTCCCAGGGGCAGAGGCCACCCCACAGAGCCAGGCTTGACCGAGGTGCCCAGCTGGGCCAGCAGGGCCCATAGTGATCCTGTCCTCTCCCACACAGAACAACAGAGGTATCAGAGAGGGAGGTGGCCCTAGGAACCTACCCTCTGCTCCTGCCCTGTATCACAAGGGCCCCCATGGTCCCCAAGTTGGCCTGGGGCCCCCTTCTACTCCTCCAACACCTGGGGATGGGATGGCAGGCTCTGGGAACGGCACCTCCTTCCTCCCTTCCTGCAGCCCTCCAGCAGCTGGGCCAAGCCCTGGTCCCATGGCCCTGAAGGTGTGCTTCCAGGCCCAGGCTGGTCAGCCCTGCACAACACCTGGGCACCAGCACCCTCAACACATCCACACTGGGGGACAGCCCGACACACACCCGTTCCTGGTGTCTCAGGCCTACACCCAGATCCTGCACATGGACGCCAGGTCCCTGTGGCCCACCAATCATATAGCTATGTCATGCCTCAACCAAGGGCTGAAGCCAGGAAGCCCCTCTGCTTGGGTCACAGCCTTGGAAGAATGGCCAAAGGAGCTGGCTGAGGCCCAGGCAGGGACCCGTACCTGGTTGACCAAGGCTCCAGGGGCTGCCCCTTCCGAGCCACGGCCATGCTGCAGCAGCCGCAGGCAGTCTTACGCCTGAACTCTTTACTAGCTGCCAGGCACCAGGTGCCCTGTGGCCAGTGTCTGCATTCCAACAGGGCCGTGAGCTCGCTGGGGCCCCAGGAGAGGGCAGGCAGGACATGGATGGGCCCAGCGCCAGGAGCCTCCACATCCAGGTCTGGCCAGTCCAGACTGAGATCCTGATGCAGATGTGGCCTCCAAGCCCCAAGCTGAGGGGCAGGTTCTGGTGGCCTGATCCAGCCCCTCCTCTGGAGGGTCCATCCCAGACCCAGAGGATCTGAGTCCACGCTGGCTGCAGCAGGCAGGTGACACAGTGATGGCGCCACATCAAGACTGGCCACCCAGACAGGCCCCTGTGCCCAGAACTCAGCAACAAACAGCAGAAGTCAGAGGCCAGCAAAGCCAGTCCCAAGAAGGGCATGCCATCCTGGGGCATCCAAAAAGGACAGTGGGTTACAAACACATCCACACCCTGGGAAGTACAATGGCCCCGAGTTTTACAGTCTCCCTGCTGGTCAGGTCACAGGGGCAAGAGCCACCAGCTTCATGCTGCAGGGGCCACTGCATTTCCGAGCAAAAATAAAACTGACAGAGATTCTTGTCTCAGACCCACCCTAGCCTCCCAGAGTCCCACTCTGCTCAGGAAGACTGTCCATCCAACAGGACCAAGAGCCAGGGTCCTGCTCAGGGCCAGGAAAGAGGATGATCGATGCATTTCCCGGGCCCCCTGCCCACTGGCTTTCAAGGGCCCCAGGAGCAAGGTGCCCATGGGAGCCTGCGGGCGAGGTTGAGGCTGCATGAGCAGCTGCGGACGGGGCCAGAAATCCCAGGAGCACTGGTGGCGTCTGTGGCTGGGCTGATAAGAAATGTCACTTTGCCACCAAGTGGCAGTGGGAGACGCCAAAGCACTTATGGAGAGTGGAGAGACCATGGCCTGTGGCCAGCCCAGGAGTTCCCACCACAGGGAGGGCCCTGGCGGATATCTCAGTACGGGACGGGAGGAGCAGGCTGAGCACCATCTCAAGTGCCCGGCCCTGCTCACTCAGGACGCTCTGCCCTGCGCCCGCTCTCGACTGCTGTTCCGTCAGCATCCACAGTTCCACACATGGCTCCTGCCCGATGGTTCTGGATGGAGACCAGGTCTAGGGAGGAGACACCCCAGCACAAGAGAAGATTTATGGTGGTACCATGGGGACCCTCAGGGGTGACTTGAGGGGCCTCCAGGAGGGCCTGAGGTCCAAAGGCAGGTAGCCTTCCGGCTGGTGCAGACAGAGGAAGGTGCAGGTTCTGCTGTCCCTGTGGCCAGGACAATGCTGAAATGAGAGATGCAAAGGGCAGTGCAAAGGCAGCGCAGGAGCGTGGGCCCCTCTCTCCCCGCAGCTTGTTTGGGAGGGCTGCGGAGACCTCTACTTCCACCTGGCTGAGGCTGGGAGCGGGCTCCAGGTCAGTAAGAGCTCTTGGTGGCTGCAGGGAAGGGCGTGGGCAGGAGGGGCAGCGCCCGGGCCACCAGGCTCTCGGACGAGGTGAAACTTTTTTGAAGAGCCCAGGGGCTTGGTGTGATTCCTCTCCCCACAAAGACAGACTCTCCAGAGGCTGCAGGGACCCAGCCGGGTGGGCAGATCCCAGAGGCCTCTGTGCAGCCAAGGTGGCTCCCACGGTGTCCAGGACCCACCTGCTCACCAGAGGACAGTTTTCCACCCTTGGAGGGGGCATGGCACCAGGCTGGTTTGTGTCTCACGCGTCTCTGGGCCCAACTTGTGGAAGAAGTGGCCTAGGTCCTCAGAATCATATCCTCGTGGTCAAAACCAGCCAGAAGCAGGTGTGGGAGGTTCCAGGGGCAATGGGACGAGGTGGCCCCAGGCTTTTATCTTAAGTGATAAAAACTCCACCCAAGAGCTGGGAGACACAGGCGGTCGTGTCCACGTTCACATCCACGTTCACGTCCCGCCCTGTTTGTTCTCTCACGCCTGTGCCTGGGACGCCAGGCTTCCCAGCTCTGCTGCAAACTCAGGGCTCTTACAGTCACGCGCTCACCAGCTGCACCCCAGGGCCTCCAGCAGCAGTGCCACAGTGCCCACAGCCCCTCCTGGAAGGGGCTGTCCCTCTGTCTCCAGGTAATCTGTGCCGTGCCCTGCAGTTGCCACCCTCCCCACTTCCTGAGGCGTCTAACTGGCCAGGGAGGAGCTCACTGGTCTGGATGGGAGGGCCCCGGAAGGTTGTTCATGCAGTAACACTACCAATCCAAGGGGAAGCAACTGGACTGGGAGAGTGCAGCCTCGTCAGGCCATCCTGGTTGGAATGAAGGGACTGTGGAGGTGGGTGAGGCTGGACAGGGGCCACAGGGTTGCCCTGAAAGGTGCCTCTGCCCTGGGCCCCGCCCTGGCTCCCCTCTTCCCAGTGCCGTGAGTGCCGCGGCTTCTTCCTCCCTGCACTTCCCCGTGTGCGTGTGGTCCTCGCCTCAGGCCCAAGCAATGGGCTCGGCCAGTTGTGGACTGAACCTCTGAAACCACGAATCAGAATGAACTTCCTCCTCTAAGTGGTTCTTGTAGGATATTTTAAAAAGAAATAAAACCTAACTAACACAGTGCCGATCAAGTCCTAATCTCCTGAATGGGTTCCAGACCTGGGCCCTGCAGGAGATCACAGATCCACGGGAACCTCGAGGTGCCGAGGAAGGCTGAGGGAGGGGCCAGGACCTCCTTGGCACTTCTGACTGCTGGTTTCCACAGGCCACGCCTCCCGCGCTGCTCCAGAGGCCTCCCCGCACCTCCACCCAGAACGTGCACTGGCCTGCACCCGGAGCCCAGCAGCTTCCAAGGACACCACCTTCCGGTCCAACCCCTCTGTGCTAGGAGACCTGGTCTCCTCACTGGTGCCCACGTGCTACAGCCAGAGGAGGGGCAGGAGGACAAACAGACCTGTCACAGTGGAGCCAGTGAGGGGCCAGCTCCGAGGCCTAAGTGTGCCAGGCTCCCCAAATCCTCATAAAAGCCTAAGCACGGAAGTGTGTGATGATGGCCACGTGATGGGCAAGGAACTGAGGTCAGAGGGAGCAGCTGGCCAGCAGCGGGGAGCTCCATGGATGGCCAGCCTCAGTGCGGTCAATGGGCCATGAACCCCAGACTTAGGAGGGAACCCCCTTGATCAAGTGGTCCAGGGAACCTTGTTTCCTGCAAACTCAGAGCCCTGGTAGACTTCCAGAACACAGCCGCCAGTGAGGGCCACAGAGAAAGAAACTGGAAACGAAGCCAGGTGGGCAGGAGAAAAACCAGGAGGGGCCAAGCAGAGCAGAAGGCAGGGGGGCCCCAGCGGTCTGCAAACTTGGTGACAATGGATGCCCAGGCAGCCCAGAGGAAGGGCAGAGAAGACACTTAGGAGGGACACAGAGTCTCCGGGGAAGATGGGGTACCACTGTGTGCAATGTCCAGCCACCCCAGGCCAGTGGCAATGCAGATGCAGTGACCACCCCAGCAGGCAGACCCCGGATAAGGAGGCCCACAGAGCCAGGACTGGGTGTGCAGGGTCTGCTGGGTACCCAGTCCTGGGGCTCTGCTGACAGGGATCTTCCAGGACATGACGGGGAACGCCTGTACACTGCCTGAGGCCAACTCTCCTCAAGGACTTGGGCCCTTGTGCTCTCCCTCAGCCCTCGCCTCAGCCCCCTGTCCAGACGGGGTTCTGGTGAGAGGGAAAGCGAAGCCTTTT